ATATATATATATATATATATTTATTTATTTATTTATTTCACTATTTTATATTTAAAGATAAAACAGAAAAAATATATATACAAAATTATAATTGTCCTCTTTAGAAATCATAATTATCCAATTTTTAAAAAAAAATATGAAAGCAAGAAGTTTTTTTTTTTTCCTACTAATACTTATCATTGTTTCAATTCCCGCTTAGATTAAATAATAATCCCCAAAAAACAAATATCTGTAGTAAGCTAATGTAAAATATAATGCTGAAAACTAAAAATTAAAACAAGTATAATATAGTGAGTTAATGCAAAATGAAGTGTCCAATGCATACTATTATTTTCCTCCGCTTACTATGTACTAATAATCTCCAAAAACAAGTTTAAATTTAAATATATTCAAAAACCAGATATTGTTGGAAAAGGAAAGTTTAAGCGGAGGAAAGATGAAGAAGATTTGAGGTTTGGCGTGAAAATTTTAGGTGCAAAATTTTATTTTAAAATCTAATCAATAAATAAATAAAATATGAATTATATTAAAAATTAAAAATATCTAAAATTATTACGTCAAGAAATAACTCTTAAAACGTTTTCAATAACTGTTAATTGAATATTTTATTTTATCTAAAAAAATATGAATAATAAAAGCACAAGTTTCAAAATTATATTTTTAAAGATAGTTTATTTTTAAAATTAATCAAGATTTATAGAATTTTTTTTAATATGCTGATATGTCTTATTACGTTATCAATCTCAAAAAATCTTTTAGTAAAATTTGATTTTTGAATTTATCTAAAAAATATAATTTAGTATAACAAATAATATATGATTTTTTTTATTAAAATGATATTCAATTAACATTATTTGATATTATTTATGAGTAAATATTGTATATATATTTAAATATTTTTTTTTGCGTAATTTCCCATAATAAAAATCGAAACAAGTATATATCTTATTTATAACGGTTTCAACTTCCACTCGGATTCAATTTGATTGAAAATTTGATTGTTCAAATTACATTATATAAGCACCTTCTTAATTGATAACTCTCCTAGTTTCCTCTATAGAAAAGTAATTCAAAATCAATTTATATTACTTTAAAAAATTGGAATTTCAAAATTAAATTCTCTATCTAAATCAATTTGAACGATTTATTACGAGATTTAATAAAAATTTAAACAAGTATTATATTTATAACCACTTTGATTAATTCCCGCTAGGATTATATTAGATAATAATGTTGAAAACAAGTATTATATTATAGTAAGCAAATGTAAATACAATAATCTCAAAAACATGAAGCAAATAATAACGATATTACCGGAAATGGAAAGTATAAGTGGAGGGAAGATGAAGATGATTTGAGGTTTTTAGACGCAAAATTTAATAAAAAGTTTAAAATTGGAAGATGCATATAAAGAGGGTCAAAGCATTATCTTTTAATTTGCATTCTTGAACCTCCTTTGCTTCCTTCTCTTTCTCAACACTCTCCTATTCTACTATGGCCAACGCAGAGAACAACACGCACTCTTCTTCTTCTTCTGAAATATGCGATCATCTTCGTCCCTACAAGAAGAGACGCTACGTTTTGCATGGCTTCACCAACGTTGCCACGTCGAAAAAATCTGTATTACAATTTCAAAAACCCGTACCCATGTTAAAGAACCCTCGACCATTGCGTGATCGTTGCGTTTCTGATATTTACGAATACCTACGTTGGATCGAGGTACTAGGCTTTTCTTTTCGTTTTAATTTTTAAATCTTTTATATTTCAAATTATATCCTTAATTTCTTTGTAATGACTTGTGTTTTTCAGATAGATCCTACTAGGGCACCCTCACCTAATTATATTGAGAAAGTTCAGTGCGATATTAGTGCTTACACGAGGGCTATTGTTGTGGGTTGGTTGGTGGAGAAGACCGACAAATACGAACTTGTTTCGGATGTGCTCTATTCTAGTGTTGCTTATTTGGATAGGTTTCTATCCTTCAATAATACGCCCATAGACAAGATGCTATTGCTTGGACTTTCTTCCTTGCTTGTTGCTTCGTAAGTTTTCTAGTTGTTCAAATATATTTTGTATCAAGCATTTACCAAATATGAATTTTTAGCTAATTAATCTTGTTCCGTAAATAGAAAATATGAAGATAGGAGGGCACTTACTATTGAGGACCTTCGTTACATTGCGGGTTACTCATGCTCTAATCAGGAGGTGATTCTTGTCTTTCATTTGTTATTAGTTTTATTGCAGGCTTTAGCTTTGGATTTTGATGATTTTTGTTATGAAGGTTGTGAACATGGAAGCTGATATATTGAAGGTTTTGAAGTTTGAATTGGGTTCTCCTACTGTGAACACATTCTTAACGTATGTTTCTTTTTTGTTTTTATGTCCATGTTGGTTATTGGATTAATTTGGCTTGTACTAGTTTTTTCTTGGGATCTTGTCTCAATATGCTCTTTTTTTTCCTTGTTTGTAGGAGATTCGTTACGGTTGGTCAAGAGGATATTGATGTAAGTTAACTTTTATTTTAATTCATTTGTTACACATTATGCATATAAGTTTCAAAAGTGATTTTATTAATTACAATTTCTTCTATATTTGGAGAATTTTTCAAAAAAGAAAAGAGAGTTATAATTACCTAATTTCTCAATTCAACATATTTATAAAAGAATAAAATGTTATAAAAATATTCTCTTTTTTTTTTTAATTAAATAGTCTCTAATGTATTATGTCAGTCGTTTCAACATATTTTGGTTTTCTACCATTGCTTTTTTTGCATGCTACAATTAATAACATTGAATAAGAGACACATTTCATTATTTGACTAATATTCTTCTCTCAATATGCAGAATTCTAGTCTTCATTTTGAGCCCCTTAGTCGTTACATTGCTGAACTCAGTTTGTTCGATTATCATTGTCTAAAGTTCTTGCCATCTTTGGTAGCTGCGTCTGTTGTATTTCTCACCAGATTTATATTAAGTCCAAACACAAATCCTTGGGTAATGATTTATTTTTGTATGTGTATTTGATATCCAATGTGGAGGAATTGCTAACTTATTATTATTTTTTAATAGAATTCAAAGCTTCACCAAATCACCAGATATACACCTGCTCACATGAAGGAATGTGTTCTAAGCATCCATGACTTCTACCTTAGAAGGAGATGGAGTTCTGTAGAAATTGTGAGAGAGAAATATAGACAAAGCAAGGTAATATTTTAACTTGAATTATTATTTTAATTCTACTTGTCATATTGCATAATTATGTTGATTTCAATTGTATTTGGTGTTTTGGTACAGTTCAATTGTGTGGCAGCAACACCAATTCCTCCAGAGATACCCCTTTCATTTTTTGAATTTAACGAGACAGATTTTTAGATAATTGTAATTTATCAATCTTTCATTTGTACCTATTAATGTTGAATGACAGCATTTTGCCTTGAAATATGCATAGACAAATATCAAATATAATTTTTTATGTATAGAAAACTTTACATGTTTTCATTGTAGTTGTTCCATTTTAAGATGTGCAACATCTCTCTCTCTCTTTTAGCAGTAAATAGGTATTGAATTAGTTACTTAAACACTACCATATTTGGTATGGATTTTTCTTTTGCTGGCTTGATCAACAAATGTATATGATAGAATATAATTTATCTTTTAGTAATGATATTTAGATAGACACTTCATTTTTTAATACTCACTCTACATTTCTCATTTTTATTTATCTCTTTTTGTTTCATAATATATTATCTCATACTTAATTTATTTTTTCTCTCTAAGTGAGTGTTAAATAGCACGTGACGTGTCCAAAAGTCATTTTTGTTTCACACGTTAGCAATAGGGACGGATCCGCGTTATAGAGTGTGGGGGCACTTGCCCCCACTACTATTTGATACATACATAATTTTTTATTTTAAAAAATAATATATTTTAAAAAATAAAAATTATATTCTAATAAAATAAATATATATGTTTAAATTATCATATATATAAAATATAGATTCAGAGAAAATATTTATTTATTTAATGTCTATCAAATTTTTAAAGAAAATTAATTCTCTAATATGATAAATAATACTTCTTATATTTCAAATTATATCCTTAATTTCTTTGTAATGACTTGTGTTTTTCAGATAGATCCTACTAGGGCACCCTCACCTAATTATATTGAGAAAGTTCAGTGCGATATTAGTGCTTACACGAGGGCTATTGTTGTGGGTTGGTTGGTGGAGAAGACCGACAAATACGAACTTGTTTCGGATGTGCTCTATTCTAGTGTTGCTTATTTGGATAGGTTTCTATCCTTCAATAATACGCCCATAGACAAGATGCTATTGCTTGGACTTTCTTCCTTGCTTGTTGCTTCGTAAGTTTTCTAGTTGTTCAAATATATTTTGTATCAAGCATTTACCAAATATGAATTTTTAGCTAATTAATCTTGTTCCGTAAATAGAAAATATGAAGATAGGAGGGCACTTACTATTGAGGACCTTCGTTACATTGCGGGTTACTCATGCTCTAATCAGGAGGTGATTCTTGTCTTTCATTTGTTATTAGTTTTATTGCAGGCTTTAGCTTTGGATTTTGATGATTTTTGTTATGAAGGTTGTGAACATGGAAGCTGATATATTGAAGGTTTTGAAGTTTGAATTGGGTTCTCCTACTGTGAACACATTCTTAACGTATGTTTCTTTTTTGTTTTTATGTCCATGTTGGTTATTGGATTAATTTGGCTTGTACTAGTTTTTTCTTGGGATCTTGTCTCAATATGCTCTTTTTTTTCCTTGTTTGTAGGAGATTCGTTACGGTTGGTCAAGAGGATATTGATGTAAGTTAACTTTTATTTTAATTCATTTGTTACACATTATGCATATAAGTTTCAAAAGTGATTTTATTAATTACAATTTCTTCTATATTTGGAGAATTTTTCAAAAAAGAAAAGAGAGTTATAATTACCTAATTTCTCAATTCAACATATTTATAAAAGAATAAAATGTTATAAAAATATTCTCTTTTTTTTTTTAATTAAATAGTCTCTAATGTATTATGTCAGTCGTTTCAACATATTTTGGTTTTCTACCATTGCTTTTTTTGCATGCTACAATTAATAACATTGAATAAGAGACACATTTCATTATTTGACTAATATTCTTCTCTCAATATGCAGAATTCTAGTCTTCATTTTGAGCCCCTTAGTCGTTACATTGCTGAACTCAGTTTGTTCGATTATCATTGTCTAAAGTTCTTGCCATCTTTGGTAGCTGCGTCTGTTGTATTTCTCACCAGATTTATATTAAGTCCAAACACAAATCCTTGGGTAATGATTTATTTTAGCAACAGTAATGGAGGCTGTGAGGAAACATTATCGGGAAAAATCCATAATAGTGTGTTTGGATGGGGAATTTAAATGAAGTAATTTATTTATTTGAAGAATTTCAAATTTTTTGAGGTGAAATACCTTGTTTGGATGGAAAATTTATAAGGAATTTGAAATTCAAGTATTTGTGAAATTCCTTAAAATAGTAGAATTTCAATTTCTCTCAAAAAAGTAAGAAATTAAAATTTCTCATATTTATTTTTCTTATTTCACTTATATATGTTATCTTATCTCTTATCTCTTCATTCTTTTAATTATTGAATATTTAAAAATATTTTTAAAATTATTAAATATTACCTAATATTAATTTTTTAAAATTATTAAATATTTAAAAATTAGCTATTATTTATTTTTTAAAAATTTAATTTAAAAATATCAACATATAAATACATTTTTAATTAAAATCAATTTTATCATGGTGGAATCAAATTACCATATCCAACTCAAAAATTTAAAATTTGATAAATTTAAATTGACTTATCCAAACAAAATATTTTAAGAATGATAGAAATTGAAATCAAAGTAATTCAAATACCAAGAATTTTAAATGCCTTAGAATTTGTAAAATTTCTCATCCAAACACACCATAAGACAAATTTTGTTACTCCTACACGTGGGTTGTCTTAATTGCACAATCAATAAACATTCCATCAATATAACAAATGTTGCGTTATAAATGTTGAACAACTCGCATTGCAGTGTAGGTATCATAAAAATCTCACTATATTTTCATTATTAATAAAATGATATATTTTGTAATACAGAATATGAAATTATTCCTTTTTATTGTAAACTACAAATTAGCCTCAAGCTTTCTTCCTTATAATAACACCAGCAACCTCAATTTTCCACTCAATCTACGACCACAATAAATAAAATAACCTTCATGCTTCACACTAACAAAATATATGTATACACAATTCAAATCTTAGTTAAAATGATTAAAAATGACATGATTAGATATAACGAAGGTGGTTAATTTAGTTATGAATCATTATGCAAATAATTTTGATGAATACAAAGTAGTTTTGAAAAAAATTATTTATATTTTTTAAAATTTAATTTTCCATAATGTAACTAGCTCATAATGCTGCATTATAAATTTATAATTGATCCAAGTAAACTTCGGTTCAACTAAGCATGTAAGTTATTTTAAATTAATTAATAGTGTCAATTTTAAATTTGAAGTATACAATTGTATCAAATGTTTGAAGACAGTTTTAGAATTCACAATTGTCTTATGATTTCAATAGGATTACATTATGCGAAACAGATTAAAAAAAAACAAAAAAAAGGCCTAGCTAGCAAGATGTTTTTTTTTTTTTTTTTGTGATTCCTTTCTATTTTCTTTTTGGTGATTAATTGCAGGATTTCACAATTGTCTTATGATTTGAATAGGATTACATTATGTGAAATAGATTAAAAAAAAAAAAAAAAGCTCAGCCAGATAGTTTTTTTATTTTTATTATTCCTTTCTATTTTCTTTTTGGTGATTAATTGCAGGATAGTTTAATTTTTCCTTTTCCTTTATATGCAAGTTGGTTTATTATTCCTTTCTATTTTCTTTTTGGTGATTAATTGCAGGATAGTTTAATTTTTCCTTTTCCTTTATATGCAAGTTGGAATTATGTAAGTAGGTTGTGTTTAAAATGTCAAAATAAAATTAGAAAATTAAACTGGGTTAGTCCATGGTTGATTTTAGCCCACCTAGTCTTAAGGGCTGAAAATGTTAGGTTTATGATATATACATTTTTTAAAATGCATTCTCTTTTCTTTTCTTTTTAAAAAATTGTAAAATATTTTTTTATTCATTTTCTATTTTAAATAAATTTTATTTTAAAAATTATCTTTTTTATTTATCTCCTTCCTTAATCCTCCTCCTCCTTTTTCTCCTCTTCTTCCTCCTCCTTCTTCATCATCTCTCTAATAACTCTTCCTTGATTTTAAATAGCAGTTGGGTGTAAAATTGAAAATCTCACAAGTTTGTATGGGGAATGGATGGAGTCCAATTGGGGCGCACTAGTATAAAAATCCGTGTCCAATCTCTCTAACTTTATATCCATTTACTTGTTTATTTACCTTACTGCATTTTATATTCTATTGTTGCATAATCTGTTGTAAAACAAGTTAACTCATAAACTATTTTCACAAGAATACTCTAAGTTTAAATACTTAGGAGTTCACCTTTAAAGAACATATTTTCATAAAGAACTAATTTTTAAAGAATAAAATAATTTAACCCCCTTTCTTGTAGCCTAACATTCACTTTAAGACACAAATTCCATATTCGTGGGGTATTGGGACAAGAATGGGTATAGGGAATGAAACGAAAACGAGAATATTGAAACCTATACTCACCCTACCTTTTTGTCATTCCTACCTCTAGCCATTTTCAAAAGTCTCAGTTTTCCTCTAGAATCATGCGGACACGAACTCTCTCTCACGCTTTTTCGAACAATACCTCTAAAAATAGTACCTTTAAATAATTGTCCAAAAATATATAACTTTAAAAATATTTATTAATTTTACTCCCAAGAAATATTTTTTGATCTTATTATATATGTAAAATATTTTTTTTTGTATTTTATTTACAAAAGAAAAATAATTGTATAAAGGTTTAAGGTAGCAAATGACTAATTATTAAACTCTCATAACAATGTTAAAGATAGAATTGTTATTCAATTAACGTTATTAGTTTTCATATATTTTTAAAAATATTTTATCAAAAAATAATAAATTTTGTATTTTCTAAAATTATCCTTAAACAAAAATTTTAGTTAACAAATGGTTAGTTATTAAATCCCTACAATTAAATAGTGTCAAAGATAAAAATATTATTCAATTGACACTACTGATTGTTGCACATAAGAATAATTTTAAAAAGAAAACAATTGTAATTGTTTAACAGGTCATTGCACTTACCCCTAAAATAATCGACATTAGGCAGAAGCTAAAACATATGAAATATATACAAAATATATAAATCCAATACATCAAAGACTAGACTAATATAAAATATCCTCTATACAACATGCAGGTTGAACCCAACGCTACTTAATGGTGCCCGACACTACTTAGCAGTGCCTAACGCTACTCAGCGGCACCCAACACCATGGAGGCAACGAGCTCCTTGTGTCGCCCATACATGGCATCACCTTACTCGTGCCCAACATGATTGATCTAGAGAGTGCCCCACACTTCGACGCATTACATGGCAAAACCCACGCCTAACTCTAATCAGCTAGAGGGCTTTCTACTTGACTCATATTTGCTACCACACCATTAGCACCTGTGGCCTTTCCACCTAACGCTAGTCCAACTCGAGGCCACTCTTTTTTGTCATACCCAATGCCATCAATCTTGCGCCTAACACAATGAAGGCACGCTTGGCGCCACATCAATTTTACACTTATGCATAACTACTTTTCACCTAGAATCCTACACTTAGCAATTTAACAACCATCCATTTGCAACATACTACCACTATACGACATTTATACATCAAAAATTCACCAATCAAGAAACATGCATCCCCTAATTTAAATATTCACCTTAAGCCAAAGGGAACAACTCTTGGAAACCCCCACAACCCATAACTCAACCATCACAATTCTAGTAATACAACACAAAAATTAGGGGTTTAAAAGGGTACCAAATCAAAATGCGCAAGACACAACTAAAATGAAAGCTTCATTTACTTCTTTGGAGAGCCAAAATTTTCCAAGAGGAGAAGCGAAGAAAGAGCTTTGCATAGATTCGAACTCAACAAGAAACTCACTTTTAGGAAGATCTCACACCCACTCACTAGCTACACAAGAAGATAGGGATAGAAGAAGATTTCTAGGAATGGGAAAGGAAATAGTTCGCTCATCTTTCACTAACTTTGGAAAATTAAAAATAATTATGAGACCTCCCCCTTTAAACTTACGTGTAACAATCTCCTTAACAAGAAAATTTTTTGTCCTAGAAAATTGTCTTATTTGGGAAGAGAAATGGGTATCGATCTCTCATATGATCTTCCAGCTGCCATATAGCCTCATCAATGGTCACATCCCATACAACTTTGACTAGCTTGATGGTCTTGCCCCTCATTTGCTTCTCTTTACGGTATACAAATACACTCGATTGCTTCTCAAAAGTGAGACTTTCTCTCACTTGCACCACATCCTACTGCACAACATGACTTGGGTAATGAAAATTCTTCCTCAACTGTAATACATGGAACACATCGTGTAGGTTTGCCAAAGAAGGTGGCAAAGCCAACAAATATACCATTGAGCCTACATGATGAAGGATATGTTAAGGCCTAACAAACCTCAATGTCAACTTTTTGGACCTCATCGCCCTCCCCACTTTGATAGTGGGCGTCACCTTCAAGAATACATGTTTCTCTTCCTCAAACTCTAAAGGTTTCCTTCTCCGATTAACATAGGATTTCTACCTACTTTGGGCAGTCCTTATTTGCTCCTAAACTTGCTTCACTTTCTCTGTCGTCTACAAAACTAATTTTGGCCCAACAATTACCAATTCACCTTGTACCAACATAGAGGAGTCTTGCATCTTCTCCCATACAATGACTCGAAGGGAGCCATGCTAATGCTAGCATGAAAACTATTATTATATGTAAACTCCACTAGAGGCAACACCTCCTCCAAACTATCAAGATGATCCAAAACACTAGCTTTCAGCAAATCCTCAAGTGACTAGATCATCCTCTTAGACTGATTGTCTATTTATAAGTCATAGGCGAAACTCAATCTCAACCTTGTTCCCAAAGCTTGGTGCATACTTTGCTATAATCTAGAAGTGAATCTCATATCTCGATTAGAGATAATAATGGAAGGCATTCCATTCAACCATATTATTTCCCTGACATGCAATTAAGTGAGCTTCTCCAAGGACCACTTCTTGTTGACGAGAAGAAAATAGGCACACTTAGT